ACACAACATGTCGACACAACAGAGACACCAGGAGGACTCAGAGCCAAAATCCTAATTGCTACTCATCTCTAGTAGCTTTAAATCCACCCAAGCGACCTCTGCGTTTCAGTAGGGGAGGGAAGGCACAGTTGGCAAAGAAAATCAAACCGCGATTTCAACAAGGAGGGGAAGCCCGGGAAGGGCGTTGGGTGGGAGAAACACGGGTTAACCGGACGCTGGCTGCCTCCCTGGCCCCGCGCGCCCGTCTGTCGCAGTCCCTGCCTGGAAGTCCGCATGCAGCTTCCGGCCGGCTTTTCCTATGAAGAAGAGCTCGTTCACGCCACTCCGAGAAACAAAGGAGGTCAAACTGAATCTCTTTCTCTGTTGTTATAGCAACAATGAAACTTGCAGAGGCCCCGAAAACGCCGCCGGGGAGCCCACGTCCTGCGTGGAACCCTCGCGCCTGCGGATTGCATTTGTACCTGCGCGCCCTGCGTCCTGCGGCTCCTGGAAGCCTGGCTCCACCCGCTCACCCCCGCGCGCCTGGCGTCCTGCTTAAGAACAACTGTCTCCAGGTGCCACGTCTCACCCGAGGGGAACCTCTCTCCTCCAGCGCCAGCCCCTCCAGGTTGCCTCAAATGGGATTGATTGTCTCTCACTGGCATTGGAAAAACCTGGAGACACTGAATGAACAATGCAGGCTCGTGGGCGCCATCCCGGACCTACTGAGCGAGCATCTTCTACCAGCATTTGATAACTAGGAGCTCAGAGAGCCGCACATGGGGAGCAATATCTCGTTGAGCACAGATGTAGGCAAATGTAGGATATCTCCGGGGTCCCGCCTCAGGCTGGGCCTCATCACCCGAGCTGGAGCCAGCGATCTGCTTGGAAACCCGCTGTTGACTTCCATCGGAAGGTTGGCCAACTTACCTCCAATGCTTAACCAAAAGGACTTAGAGCCTTGACATGGGTGGGAAGTGTTGAGCTTGCCGCCCTCACTGAAATCAGAAAATGGATGTATTTTTTTCCTGGAACTGCAGAGAAGCAGGTTCTGTTAAGAGTAGTGCAGTGTTTCCCTCTCAAAGTCAACACTGCCCCAAAGAGAAATCATAAAAAGTCTCTTGACACCAGCGCGTGTTCTCTTTAGAGCGGCGAGGGCGGTGCCCGGGCTCCTGCATTCTTTGCACTGTGTTTCCAGGAGCAACTGCCACCGGGCCTGGCGCACCCAGAGAACACACGGGGCCCACACCCGCGCCGTGAGCGACCTTGGGAAACTCAAGCTGCCCTCGCTGAGGAGGCCTTTTACCAACGACTGCATCCTTCTGCTGTGAGCGGGGTCAGAGGTCTTTCTGGCGCTGGCTTGAGGGCGCAGAGAGGAATATGAAACTTCCTCCCCGTGCCCCACCCCACCTCCCACCAAAAAAAAAAAAAAAAAATTGTCCCTTTTTTTTTTTCTCAGTAATTAAAACAAAAACAACTCTGTCTGAGGCATAGCCTGTAGTTTAATGCCCAGGTTTCCGTTTATTTGCCATGTTGGCACAAGTGCTTTAGAATGTAGTTTGAATTGTGTGCAAATCCACCACAGCTTTGAAGAACCGCCCTTTCTTATACTTGTGTGTTCACCACTTAGGGTAGGGATTAGGAAAAGAAAGACAAAATCGTTTCCCATTATGCTTCCCCTCAGGTAAGGCCAGGGATTAAAGTGTTTAAATTTCTCCTGGCTTCTCCCAAAACCCTGAAATTAACGAAAGTTAACTATAACAGCTCTTATAATCTGGAGTAGGGATTGGCAGCTGTAGTGCAGGCAAATCCAACCTGCCACTTGCTTTTGCAAATAAAGTTTTATTGGCACACAGCCATCCCCATGGGTTTATTATGCCTGTGGCTGCTTTTGTGATATCCGAGCAAGAGACCATGGGGGCCCCCAAAGCCTAAAATATTTATATTCTGGCTCTTAAAAAAAAAGCTTGCTGCCCCCTGTGCGGGCATGTGTTAGGGTCTTACACAGCAGGCTCAGGAATCAGAACCCTGGGTTCCAGTGTGAGCCTACCCTGGGATAAGCTGTTAAAGTAATTAAATGAGAAGGGAGGCCATTTGTCTGGGTGGTGCTTAATGCCTTGTCAGCCCATGTGAGCAAAGCAAACTGTAAGCCAGATCCAGGGCTCCAGAATGCAAGGAAGTGAAACGTAGCCATGGCCGATCACTAGCAGCCAAGTAGGCTTCTCAAATAAGGAAACCAAGGAAGCCCTAGTCAAATAACCCCCTTGCTTTGCTTCCATCTGCATCTTGTCCGTGAAGACCTCTCCCCTAGCTCCTGTCCCCAACAGGAGTCTTGGCACAGCCACTAACAAATCCATGTGTGCTCAAATACACTCGTAAAAATTATTTTTTAAATATGTATCTTTTTTTAAAATTTTTGATTTTAGAGAGAGGGGAGGGAGGGAGAAAGAGAGGGAGAGAAACATCAATGCAAGAGGTACACACTGACCGGCCGCTTGCCTTCTGTATGAGCCCAACCAGGACAGAGCCTGCAACCCAGGCATGTGCGTTGAGCGCAAATAGAACCAGCGACCCTTTGGTTTGGGGAACAAAGCCCAACCAACTAAGCCACACTGGCCAAGGCTAAAGTGATAAAATGTTTAATGTGCCCCGGTTTACCTTTTAACAGAGCTAAGAGATCCTAGGCATATTATTTAGATGTATTAAAACTCCTTAAGGCTCAGTTTCCTCATCTATAAAATGGGAACAAATAGGAGGTAAAATACTTACCTCCTAGAGCTGCTGTGGGGATTCAGCTAAGGTAACACAAGAGAAGCACCTGGCCGAGTGCTGGATGGTACATAAAGGCTGTTAGGAAAATCCAATCAAACGCTCACCCTTTTATTGGGGCGGAATGCTTCTCTTTTAAAAAGTCCTAAAAGAGGTTCTGACTTATAGTTAACTACACTCAGCAACATTTCTTAACACATTCATTAGCTTTAGACTTGCTTCAGCAATTCTGACTTCATTAAAATTATAATTATTTCTTTAATTCCATTTCCTTTATCTACTTCTTCAACTTAATCCCCGACATGGGCTGCCAAGGTTCTGGGACTCACGGAGAGCCTCGTCTGAGATGGTTTTAGAAGAGAAAGAAGATAAAATAAGAGCCAGACAGTCAGGAAAATGAACAGTGAGTGAATTAGCAAGTGCGTGTGGCGGACCAAATTTTTGCAAGATGAATCGGAATGCACCTGGGAGGAGGAGGAGGAGCTAAATGATGTGAGAAGTAGCTAAAACACAAATGCATGCCAGCAACGCCATTAGCACCAAATCATTTACATATCCTTAATCCACTAATTAACTCTCATCTTAGTGTGACCCTCCTTCGCCCAATATTCCTGTAGGCCGACCAGTGGTGTCCTACTGGACACTGGGCCTTTGGGGTTTCATGGGTCAACCTCTCTTCTGGGAAATTGCATACTTTTCAGAAAGACCACAAATGATAATAAACCTTCTGATGGCCCTTTCTTGGGGCTTAGTAAAGTTTATTTTTCTCCTAGACAATCCGAGGTAATATTTTCTGGTGAAAATCATCAATCTGGAGAAGCCCTATGCCTGGCACTGAGAAAATATATACCAGGAATCAATGTTCATTTGCCTCCTTTAGAATGAATTCTGTGCCCAGGAGAGAAGTTTATTCATCTCTCCATTCGTGCAGCATGTATTTTTCAAGCGTGGGCCATGAGCCCGGCACAGTTTTAGGGCCGGGAAATAGGAACGCTAGACTTAGCCAGGAAGAACACAGACCATCCAGTCACACTTGAACTTAAGACACGCAACAAACATTCTTACAAAGTATAATTATGTTCCATGCAACACACGCTAGAAGATTATTCATCGCACATCTGGAATTCAGATTTAACCGGCTGTCCTCTATTTTACCCGGCAACAGGGTCGTGACTTTGACAACACCGTTGCTGCTCTCTCGTCAAGCTTAGTACCAGCCCCAGCCGGAGGAGCCCACGGAAGTCAGTTCCCCCGCGGGGCAGCCTGGGCACCGGGCGGCCTTGTCGCTGCCTCCGGGGGCCCCTTAGCGGACGGCACTCTGAATGGGAACGGCAACCTCATTTCCTTGTAGAACTCCGCTGCGGCTCAGGTCCTTGGGGACAGGGCCTGTGTCTCCTCCTCTCCAGGTTCCAGGGCTCAATGAACGGGCAGGCGCTCAGCACCATCCCAGGGAGTGAGCAAGGGCCTCGGTGTCAACAGCCGGCCCTAGATCAAGCGCAACGTCAAGCCATGCCCAGGGCTCGCAAGGACAAGACTCACAAGCCTTCAGAGACACTGAAGATAGAGAGGAAGCTGCATTTTGCCAGAATCCAGACAGCATCTGGGAGAAGAGTGATCTTTTATCTTTAAAACCGTTTGATGAAGTTACTGCAAACCAAATAAAGGCTTTCAAAAAAGGGGAAGGGGGAAGATTGTGTAAAAAACTGTAAGGAATACTAGAGCATCCTTGGAAAAGCAATTTCTTAATAAATAAGAGCAAGTCAAAGCACTGAGTTTACTAATGAGTAATATAATAAAATGCCAGTCATTAACCGGAACCGGGATATTGTATAATAACGGAGGAACACAGTATACACAAATAACAAATAATGAAGAGGCATTTTATTGTCAGTACCGACTGTCATACAATCGAAACACAGAAGGAAAAAATCACGAGAACCCACAAAAGGACAGATTCTGAGAAGTGCAAGGGACACAGTATCTACAATAGAAAATCATTGCATGACAGTGACTCCTTTCTGCCCAGCTGCGAGAGGGGAACAAGAGGTCAATATCTATAGAGCATGTTTCAATTACGCTAAGGGTTTTTTGTGGGGGTTTTTTGTTGGTTTTTTTTTTTTTTTTTTTTGGAAACAAAAAGAAAAAACAAAAAGAAAAGAAGGAAAAACAGAAAGACAAATATTGTATTGCAGTTTCCCAATGAGCACAGGATGAGCAGGACTGGAAGCTTCTTTCCTTCCTCCTTCTCTCGCCATTGTCCTGTGACGTCCTGGGGGATCGGTGGCTGGCGTGTCCCACGCGTGTCTCACGGCCGCGCTGGGCAGTTACTGTCAGTGCTCTGATCGGTAGGCGGGAAACGTCTCTGTTCGGTGAAGCTTCAGAGGACTGGTGACATCTTTTCCAAAAAGAATGTGAAAACAGTGGTTAAATGTCAAGAAAGCCCACAATCAGATTAGCTAGTGACAAGCGTCTACAGAGCAGAAATAAGTAACATATGACCCAGACTGTTCCCAAAGGCCACTCACAGTGATATGCAAACGAGAGCCATGAAGGATTATGTGATTAACATATTATTTGCATGTGGCTTTTGCATGGAGCTATAATCAGACCACTGATTATATTCCTACAGTTTTCGTTTTCATTAACTCCCAGCGTATTTTGGAAAAGTCAGGCAAAATCCTAGGACTGCAGAAACTTTTGGCGAGGAGAGACACTCTTTGCCAGCCTGATCAGAAATAAGATGATATTATACTCATTATACCTAGGAAATCTTGCTATAAAGGAGGACTTATTAAAATCTATCTGGCCTTTATTATTTCAGGTTTAGGTTCCAACCAAGAAAGTAAGGAAGTCAGGAAGGGGAAGCACAAGGCCACTGTCAGCCTTCTTTGTGACACAGACAGAACGGATGGCAACCTTTCTTGACGAAGACCCAAACACTAAAAGTTGCAGATTTTGCAGACCATGTGGTCTCGCAGCGGCTCTGCTGCCTGCAGCGCAAAGACAGCTGCTGTGAACACGGATTGAACGAGTGGGCGTCAATGTTCCGATATATCTTTGTTCACAAAAGCAGGAGAGGCTGGATCCCCCAGCAGGCCCTAGTGTGACGATTCCTGCAGGGAGAGCCCTTGGTATTATAAAAATGAGAGGTTTTACTGCCATCTCCTGGCTCAGGTTAGCAGGAGCCAGGAAGTGTACACAGTGCACATAAAACTACACCTGAGCTGAACAACCTGGTGCCACTGAGCTCAGTACTGCGGGGAACCAGATGTGCGGGTCACACCGGCAGAATCACAGAGAGACAGGACCACAGCTTAGAGGGCATGCCTGCCCCCACCCCCCATCCACACTCAAAACCCAGGTGGAGCCCAGCATTGGCCCAAGCAAGAAGTGGATGGTGGCTGTGGCCTTAAGTTTAGTCGTCTCTGACCTCTGACAGACCTCAGTACACGCCCATTTAAAGTCCTGTGTAGCCTTGACCAGTGCCTCTCAGTGGTTGGAGCATTGTGCTGCAAATCAAAAAGTTGCCTGTTCGATTCCCAGTTGGGGCACATGCTTGGGTTGCAGGTTCGGGCCCCAGTCAGGGAGTATACACAAGGCAACTGATCGATATTTCTCTCTCACATTGCTGTTTCTTTTCCTCTGTTTCTCCCTCCCTTCACCTCTCTCTCTAAAAATAAATAAAATCTTTAAAAAAAATAAAGTAACTTACCTTACTGAGGGCACAACACCAAACCACAAGGAAAACAAAAATCACGGATTCAGGTATTCACATGCCTCAGATCTGAACCATAAGAACATTATATATCTAATCATACAGTCACCAGCACATGTCAGCAGGGACTGTCAGAGAAATCTTGAACATTAAAATACCCTCCATCGCTAGAAATCACTTCGTCCAGCCTCCCAGCCATTAGGAACAGGAATTCTATTCTCTTTCCCCGACACACGTCCGCACAAGCAATAAGGAGGTTTACTACAAGTAAAAATCCAGGTGCGGCTTTATTAGAGCTTGATAAAATCTCCAGCAGGAAGCGACAGCCTGCAACCAGTATTGCTATGAAATCCAAATCCTTGGTCAAGCGCAAAGCCCTCCCCTGTGCCGTCAGCTACGGCTCCTTAGGCTCCCGGAGTTTGCCAGGAAAGCAAATGAGAGCATGCACTTGGGGTCAGGCTGAAACAAAAACCCCTGCGGCTTCCATCACGATGGCTACCCGAATCCCTCCGGCTTGGTTTGAATGCTGTTTTTAGTCTAAAGCCACAAAACGGACCAAGAGATTTTCTGACGTTTCGGCAGTTCCCGGCAAAGGCACAAGCTGGCACTGGCTGGCAGCTCCGCCGGGGCCCAGCCCGGCTCTCTGGTCGACACAGGCCATAAAACTTTGGGACTTGCTTGTCACTATTTAAACTGTGGACTTCCCCACAAAGGTGCTCACTGACCTGCTCCCTTGTAGCACCGGGAGGTACCCGTGGCCTATGTCCTGCCACAGCAGGGTGGACGGGGGTGACTGCAAACGGCCCCTGGCAAAGGAGGCCGGTGGCTCACCAGGGACCCGCCACTCTCGCCCCTGCCCTGTTCCCTCTTGGCACGTCCCCCAGGCCCCAACGGACATGCACGTTTGAGAGCCTGGATTATCCTTCATCTTTTCGCATTTGCTCAGGTCTTATCCTACGACTTCATTTTCACTGCTGCAAACATAGTATCTGTGGCTGTGTTAGGCTGCATATTGAAAACCCAAGTGGCCATGTGCTCCCAGAAACTATCATCCTTATAACACATATGTAAATTGCGTGGGCTGGACCCAGCTATGTGGAGGAGCTATTTCCACAGCACAGAGCATGTGGTGAGACACGCTCAGATGAGACCACCTGAGACAAGGCGCGGCCCTGGGAGAGGTGCCCGAACCCTGGAGTCTGGATGCCATCTCCGCCACTCACTAGTCATGTGGTCGTCGCTCGCTAGCCACCTGACTTCCAAGCCTCTTGATTTCTGCCTCCATTGAAATGGAGAAGATAGTCCCACTCTTGCCAACTCAATCTGTTGCCAGGAAAGCCAACTGGCACTCGGCTGTCTCCTAAAGCCCCTTACGCACCGGCCGCGCTGCGTGCCTTCTGCTCTTTGAACCTCCCAGCTCATTTCTGCCGCAGGGCCTTTGCACTTGCTGGCGTCCCCAGCGAGACGGAGCTTCCCTCACTCCCAGTGTGGCTGCCTCTTCTCAGACTTCAGGTCTTGGGAGAGATGTCAATAGCCTCCTGCGACCACCCCATGTAAAGAAGTCCCTTTAGCACATCCTCCCCCAACCCAAAAGCTCCACCTCCCTATTCCCCACAACAAACACTTGCTTTTCAAGGTGGCATGTGTCAAATTTGAATTTAATTATTGACTGTGATCCTTGTTTAGACAATAAGGTCCAGGAGGGCAGAAACATGTGTATCTAGTAACCCCAGTCTCCGTCATCTAGAACCATGCCTTGGCACAAAGTAGATGCTCAGGAAACATCTACTGATTAAATGAATGAGTGGGTAGATGAACGATGGAGAGGCAGAAACTTCAACGACTTACTATTATACACAGGTGACCTCGGACACAATACTAACCCTTCAAATTCTCAGGTTCTTCACGGCAAATGGATATAACATACTTTCCGGTGGCTGTTTCAAGGACTAAATGAGATCATGTGTCTTGAGGCCTCATGAAAAGCCTGCAGCACAGTAGGTCCTCAAGAAAGGGTAGCTTTTATAAAGATACTCATCACGTATGTCTTCTCTCCTTTGTAAGGCACAAGCCCAGCCCCTCACAAGTGGCATGTTTGTATAAAAAAGGAAAGAGGTTTTCTATTTGACAGATTTGTAAATCTCTGGTCTGAACAACATTAAACAGATTCTTTCCTACAAGACATCTCAGAGCCTTGGAAATGTTGATTTGCATGCTGGATTTCGAAGAGGAGAATGAACACATAGCGTCTCCTCCAAGCTTGTTAGACAGCAGCACTTTTCGGGGGAAGGGTGCTGTCTGCCAGGGTTAGGACAACACAGAACACAGTTGGGAAAAGATGAGTCTGCGGTGACATTATTCAATGGGTTCCTAAAAAAATCTTGTGAATGCAGTATCAACATACACTTGTTGAGTGCTTCTCCTTCATAAATTTCTTCCAGCTTTCATGATAAGCCTCCTTGTCATGTTGGTTCTGTATGTGCCTAACCACAGAAGAGCATTTCTATATGAAAATGGGATGAGAGAAGTAGTGAAAGTGGATTAAACATGCCTTAGCCTCAGACAGCACCTTCCTCTCGCCACCCAAAACTAATGACAAAATGACAATTCCAAAATCAGCCAGCAGGTGGCGCCATAGGACTAGATTTAGGGAGGAAATGAAAAATTTCTCAAATCAGATGAATTCTCCTATACCAAGGTTACATCAAGGTAGGTGAATCAGCCAGAGAAATTACAAGTTACAAATACCAGCAAAACTAGAAAAAACTATGTACCATGCAATTTCAGCATGTGGCACGGTGGCACACACGGGGCCATGATGTCACTAATTTTTCCTAACTTCAGTCCCTCCGACCCCCACCAGAGAGTGGGGGAAGGGAAGGAGAAAGGCAGGTATATAGGTGGAGCAATAGACAAACCTATTCCATTTGTTTGTCATGTAAATGGCCAGCCCCCAAATAAGCAACAGCATTTTAGGTAAGTCTGTGAACTATATTTTTAAGAGAACAAATTACTGAAAAATTGTGTCCCATACAACACAGACCACACATTGGCACTGTCTCGAGGAACACTGGTGACCACAGAGCAATCCACACAGTAAGATAAATGTGGGCAAGTCCACGGAGGACACGCAGTGAGGAACTACCTCAGTCAACGTCAGTACAAATTAAATGTCAAAATAAAATACATGTCCATGAATTCCTACCCAAGTGACAAAGGTACAGGTACATGAAAATGAATCATTGGATGAAATAACTAATACAAACCACAGGGCAAAAAAAGACAATTGTGAGGCAATGACAAGGCCATTCTCATGCCTAGACACATTCCAAGGTAGCAGGCTATTTCATGGAGGATGACTATGCAGCAGAAGCAGGAACAATGCAAGAATTCTAATAAAAATGTGTACCTTCCGTGAAGTTCATAGTATGCAGCAAAAAGCCAACAATAAAAGTTTTAATTATATTTCAAAACCGAGGGCAAGATTATCTCCAGAGCCCTCATCCGTGACAAAGCTTGAGGGGCTGCCGTCTCTGCAGGAATCCTGTGACATTTCTTCTCATCCTCACTGAGTTCCTCGGGACCTGAACCATCATTCTCTTCCGATGCCTGTTTCCTAAGGGCTACCATGGTGTTCCTTTGAAAAATCTGGACTGATAAGCTTGACCCTGACTTTTCAGTAATACCTTGTCACTTCTGAGTGATGGGTAAAACCAGGATAAATATTAAACCTAACAGTAGAGGGATTAAACCCAAATTTAATTGTGAGAAGTTGTTTGGTGGGTGGCTGGATATTTTGGATAGCAACAAAAGCAGGACCGTCTGAAAGAACGGGGATTTCTGTCCTCGCTCGGATGGTCTGGAACCCCCTGTTCCACTTCCATAGGCCACACGGTCACTATTTTTATTCTGGAACTTGCAGGTTACAAGTCTCCAAGGCTCATCCCAGACTTGTCCGCCTTGTATGGGTCTTCCAACCACCACAAGGGCTTTGTGCATGCAGGCAAATTTGCAGATTTTATTGTTGTTGTTCTTAAAATACTGTGTCTGTAAGCTGAGAAACAGATGTGTCCAGATGTAAACATGGTTGTGGTAGTCATAGATACCCTAGGAGCACACACACCATATGCCAACAGCAGCCAAAACATCCTCCTCCAATTTAAAACAGATTTTAAAAAATATTATGATGCCACCAAGGCCCTGATGAGACCCTTACTTGGCCTTAGGTTATATCTCAGGAATGTGTACTTATTTTGGTTAAGGATAGCTGGGTTAGTTAAGGATTGTAAGATGAGGGTGTTCACATGACAATTTTCTGCCCAAATTGTCCTGAGGGTTTTGAAGTTCTGGGATATCTGCTAATAAATTCATAAATAGCAACTTATTGTAAGTGCTTAGAACTTCCTTGCTCTCAGTGCATCTTTGCAAACATGGTATTTATTTTAGGGAACTGCAGCCACTCATCGACGCTGGTGCATGTTGACAACTCTCAAGCCGCCACGCTGCATCTCAGGAAGGAAGGCAATTTGCCAGTTTGCTCTCTGGGACACCTACAGCACATTGGTTCTCAACTTTCTTTAGCGTTCTGGACATGTGGAATCTAAAAAGACCTACCTTTTCTGTGATGGTTATCTTGATATGTATAGAGAGTCAAGTTATACAGCCATTCAATAGGTTACCGTGAATATAAGTTCATGTGCTTGATCTTATTGCATATCAGAAAAACCATAGTTGCTATAACAGCTTCGCAGTGGTGAACACACTTTAAAAAATAAATGTACTTAAGTAGATGAGATCGAACACAATTGAATAAATAGTATAAGGGGTGTGTAGGTGACAAAAACCATGATGGTGTCATTCAAGTATTACAAGTTTCTGAAGGTGACACAGAACAAATGACAACAACCCGCTCTAGCCCAATGCTGTGTGCATGGGTATGTTAGGAGGCCAGCTCGCTAGTCCGTTGCTTAGCGACGTGCGCAGGCTCACCTGCATTCAGGACGTACGAGTATCCCAGAGCTCTACCAAGTCCCGCGCCCTCGGCGGTGACCAGAGGCTGCAGTCATGGAGGCTACACGGGAAATACCCTAGGTCCCCTCTTCGCGTCGCACATCACGGCTACTCCGTGCACGGCACCGGGTGGATAACGAGTCCCAGCCGTCCCGCCCGCCTTGGCCTTGCTACTTATCCGAGGAGCCGGTCATGAGTCAAGCGGCCTCGCAATTAAGTACTAAATGAAAACTGTGACGGGGGCTATAAAGGAGCGAGCCCTCTGCCACATCGCAGGAGTGCACAGCACCCGAGAGCCCCGCGCTGGTTATATTCAAGTCTAGGAGGCACCGGAGTGCCACCAGGACGAGCTCTGTGGGAGAGGGACAGCCAGCAGGGGGCGCTGAGGGGCAGGCTGCGCGACCAGGGCACAGAGCAGGCCTCGGTGGCTGGGCCCCGTTCTCCACAGACCCCTGCTCACTGTCGCACTGGGTACTCAGCACCTCCTGCGTCACAAGGTGGAGCAGCCTAGAGCGCACTCGGCAAGGCCCTGCAGCAAGGTGCCCCACGGGCCTCTTTATTTACAAATGGTACCTGCACAAGCTCCTCTTTTACACTGTTAAACAGATAAAGCTGCAGGTGAAAGTACAAGGAAATGTTTACGCAGGATTTCGAATTGTTGCCATTGGGCCATTCTGTACTCTAGTTCTGAGACCGTGTTGGCCGAGGGGCATCAGGATTTGGGGAGAGTCACCGCGGGCGGGAACCCAGGGCTCCCAACCTCAGTCATTCCCTTCCCTTAGACCACAGCTCCTAAGCCTGAGAGTCACCTGGGGACAAGGATGGCTCGTCCCCACCCTCAGAGTCCCTGACTCCTTAGGTCTGGGGAGGCGCCCGAAAATCTGCGCTTTTAGCGAGGTCCCAAGTAATGCTGACACTGCTAGCGAGCGGTCTGTCTGCCAGACCGTTTCTCCGAGCGGACCCCAGGCCTCTCGCCCAGGCCACGTGGGCATCTGCCGGAAGTGCGGATTGTTACGCCACATCCTCCAGCATTTCATCTCTGGCATGGAGGGTCCAAGGACCTGCATTGTAAACCATTTCCCCAGGACGTCCGGATAGAGTCGATGCCTGGGGAAAGAGGCCCTGATGCGGCCCTGGCCCGGGGGCCTGGCATCCAGCAGCAGGTCGCTGAGCGGAGCCCCCCGCGGTCGTAGGGCTGCGGGGCGCGGTTCCCCTTCTGCACACAGTCACCCACGCAGCGTCTCCGACTCACTGTCGCGCCGTACAACGCCAGCACTCACCTTGCAGGCGGTAGAGCTGGCCCGTGCTGTGCTGCCGGGTGATGTGCTGCCAGTAGGCGCTGCGAGGCACCATGGTGCTCAGCGAGGCGGCCCGCTCACCCATCTTCATCTGCAGCTGTGTCAAGACAAGAAGGTCGCAAGTCAGCTACCGGGGCCGAAAGAGACATGACCGCGGGGCGGGGCGTATCAGGGAGGGGTCCCTCTAGACCCATGGAGGGGACTTTAGGCTCCATTGCTCGACTCCATTGCTCGACACAAACAAGCAACGGCAATACTTGGCAACTACAAACCAGATGTAATCAATTAAAAAGGGAACCCCCCCACGCCATCTGGGGAACTGCCATTTTAATTGCTCGTATGAGCGTTCCATGAAATGGTACCTGCTTGGCATTTTGCTGAGCACAGACTGGCTACAGGGTGAAAAAATGGAGGATATTATTATGAATTATTAATTGCAAAGCCCATTTAAAGCTGTCTCTTTTTCTTTAAAGAAAACTCCTCACTCTGTGCAAGTCATCGGCGTGGTAGTTCCGGGCATAATATTTGTATGTTCACACAATAAAGCCAAAATAATATGAGGCTTCATACTCTGGAGGCCGAAATCATTGTAGTTGATGAGACTGAACTTGGAGAAAAAAAATTATAACCATTTGTTCCAAGGATAATTTAATTTGTGTTGTATTTATGTGTGATGATTGAATTTTTCGGTCCCTATCACAATAATAGCACAATTACCACAATGAGTCCCTGAGAAGAATTACACAGCACTAGGTTTCGTGAGGGCATTTTCAACTTTCTTAAACATATACTCTCCGTTGAAAGGGGCAAGAAGCTGAGAACAGAGCTGGCAGAAGAGTTCTGCCGCTATTTCTCTATGTCTAGGTATGACAGTCCCAAAATCTAAGAGCAACAAGCAAAGCCAAAAAACCCAGCAACTCCTGGTCACATTCAAACCCATTTGCATGAATGCAAGAAAATAAAGAGAGAAAAAGAACTGAATTTTCAAAGTACAATTATCTGGCTTTCCTACTATAAAGAGATTATATTTAATATAATTAGAGATTTAATATAAGAAACACACTTGGGAAAGAGCCATCGCTTCGACTTGTTCATGATGCGACTAGGAATATATTTCTGCAGTGCCACACGCTGTGGCTGTATTTTTATTTTTAGGAAGCTTATTTTGGGAGGAGGAGGAGATGACAGCAATGTCATGTTTCACAGGGACCACGACAAGGCCTGGCTCCTGACTCCTTTGTTGAACCTTTGAAAGGACAGCTTATTTTATGAAAGGAGCATTCTCATTGTCTTTCGAGAAAAATGATGAAAAAGTCTTATTTCACTCAAAAATGTCTAGATTCTCAAAGGGTGAGAAGGCTCCGGAAGTGATTTGGTGAAAAGTGGAAGAGGACAGCGTCTACATCGTTTTTCTTTATTGTTGAAAGCAACGCCAAGTAGCGAAGGGGGATGTGAATGGGGCTCATGGACGCCCCCTGGTGGAAGTGCAAATTAACACTACATTTTTTAAGGAGTTCGACTTGGGTAACCTGGGGTATCGGGAGAGAAGGATTTAAAAATCTGATCCACTTTGACTTACTTTGTTTTTCCTTTAAAATAAACATAGTACTCTCACATTAAAAAGGAAAAATAAAAATTACCACAACCATAACGTGTATAAGCAGAGGTATTTCTGCTATAACGAGAGCCACTCCCAGAAAACCTCCCATTTTGCAAATTGTTGGGACAATTGGGTTATGGGAAGATCATTATGACCTGAGCCACTGCCACTTTGGGAGGTATCTTGGAGGCCGGAAGTTCACGTAGGTTATAGAAAATGCAGAAAAAGATCGGTTGGAAGTGCTGGCCTCCAGGATCCTGGTCCAGTCATCTCCAAGCACCCGGGACGCCCACTCTCACACCCGCCTGCTACTGAAAATGCCACTCCCCAGGCCAGAGAGCTGCCCCACCAGCCACCTGGTTGGCACCGACCTTCCCTTCAGGAGTCAGCTCAGGAATCCCCTCCCGGGACGTTTTGCTGACATCTCTTCTCCCCTAACGATACCAGGTGCTGCTCCCAGACACAAAGTCCTGCTCGAAGTCGGATCACTGGCTGCTTTGGGACAGCTGCTGCTCTAGCCCGCCCCGCAAGACAGACATGGATTCCAGAAAATGGGGATCATCCCTTTAATCTCTATCCCCGGCACCTAGCTTGGGAATCCGGAGGCTTAAGAAACAGAGGGTGCGTGAACGAACGGATGAACGAACCCAGCCTCTGCCTGGGTAGCAGGGAATACTTGCGGAAATAAATCCTAATAACCCAGCAAATTAGAACCCCCGGGAACCCAAGGCTGAATTCCTGCTGAAGCGTCAGGTCCAGGTGAAATGAACGTGACTGCCCCTGGCCATGGGGGACGGAGCAGTAAGATGCTACCTCGGTCTGCTTTGCCATTCAAGTGACGAGCAGCAGCGAGGCCTCGGGGAGATCCGCTTCCGTGCACAGCACGGCCGGGGAGGCCAGTCCCCCAGCGGGGGAGTGCAGCGTGACATTTATTCATTCAATGAGCAGTGTTAGCACAGGATCCCACAGGGAAGGCGGGCAAGCCTTCATGCATGTCAAATGTCTTCTTACCCTTCAATACTCAAACTGTCCCCCTAACCAGCAGCGACGCACGCCGGTCTCTTCCTAACCCAGCCTTCGCGAGTCCGGAAACTGCCCAGTGGCCTAAATAATCAATGGATCGAAGGGGCTGTGTTTGGAAGGCAGAGGGATCACGGCGCTACCAGGGACGGAAAGTGACCATGGGGTCAGAGACCCACGTGCCGGTTTAGGATGCTCTCCAGGGCTGTGTGACATGAGACACACCCTCCCCTTCTCTGAGCCTCAAAGGCTCCTTTCTCACAGAACCTCCCTTCTAACGAGACAGATAATTAAACTAAACAAATAAAAGTAATCAGATTACCATAAAAAGGAATGAGGTCCTGATTTATGCTATGAGGCCAGACATAAAGGCCACACATGGTATGATTCTGTTTCTATGAAATGTCCAGAAAAGGCAAATTCAGACAAGAGAGAAACTAAGTCAACGGCTGCATAAGGCGGGGTGATGCCTGAAGGAAACGGATTTCTGTTGAGGGTGATGAAAATGTTCTAGAATTGAGTGCGGTGATACTCTCGCAACTCTGAGAATATATTAAAACCACTGAATTGTACAGTTTAAAGGGCACATTATATGGTACGTGAATTATATCTCCATAAAGCTGTCATCAAAAATATAAAATCAGATAGCAGCATGTGCAATGCAAACTGTTTTTTAAAAAACATGACATCATGAGTTAGTGGGTAGCTCCCAGTCCCAGGGGAAGTAACATTTAAACTTCAGTGACAACTGACCCAGGCATGGTCCCCGGTCACCATCACTATCAACGCAGACAGATCCTTTTTCAAACCTCCCAGGATGCATGGCGAGGGGGTCGCTGATTGCTAAGCGCCTCCCCCCAGAAAGAGGGGTGAACTCTATCCATCCACCCTCTTGAGAAAGTTCTCATGCACGCGGTGCACAGCTTCTCCGTGAGAAAGGAAACCCGGCGTCCTCCACAGGACCAGGCACACTGTCGCGTCCTGTGTTCTGCGCCAGGTCTGGCTGACGCTGTGAGTCTCAGGCGAGGACTGCAGAGCAATGTTGAGTCACAGCTGCAATACTATGCCACGTTGTCCTTCTCGGGAATCCAACTGCTTCTACAGCAGAGAATGGTGTGTTTGGAAATTGAACAGCACGACAGGATGTGAGTGTTTGCTGCTACAGTCGATCATGAGCACCATATGGCCGGTTTGTGAGTCGGGTCTGGATCCATTCAGAAACAAGCATACGTCACCATGATGGCAGGGTGACACCTCAGGACCTAATTCCATCCTCGTCAGACGCAAACCTCCAGCAGGCTGCTCCTTGAAAGTGTCTCCAGTGGGGCCTCTGCCACAGCAATTTTGCATATGCAAATCATATTGTCATTTTCCATTCACTCCACCTGCTGAACAAGGGCACCGCTGTGACCATAGGGTTGAGCTGCGAGTCAGCTACCGCTACGCTGGGATGTCTGCGCAACCAGAGAGACTTCCAGAGCTCATCCCAGTCTGGTGTCTCCTCTAAGAGAGAACATACAAACCAATTTACTTCCCATGGATATTTTAAGCACAAAATGTGGGCCAAGGTGAGTCAGAAGGGACAATTCAGTCCAAGAGAGAAAAAGTCAAACTGGGTCCCACAGAAATCGGCATCTCAATGTCTCCCTTCGCTCAGCCTACTCAGAGCCCAGCAGCCTCATTCACAGGCCCCTCCCATTCCATCGACGTTCTCCGTTGGGTTTCCTGAACTCCATCCACGTGGTCTGCCTGCCAATTCTCCTCTGAAAATAACATTGGAAATATTATTGGTCTACCTGTGCTTTCTGGACCCTGAGTCGGTAGTCCAACTTCAGCGAGCACGGGAATCGCCTGGAGTCCTGGGCCCTGCTCCTGCTCTAGGGGTGGGCGCCAGGGATTTGTGTTTCTGCCAAGTTTCCAGGTGATTCCAACTTACTGGGCCAGGGACCACGATTTGAGAACCACTCTTCTAGGTTACTTATCACCTTTGTTCTGGGAATCAAGTTTCCCACTGTGGTAAGATGAGCCCAACCTTGGTCCAAAATCAGGTTGAAGTCTGGACTCTGCCACTAACAAGTGTACGACTCTAGGCTGGTTATTTAACCTCCTTTAGTCCTTAATATCTTGTCAGTGGAAAAGAAAGAGAGCAAGCAGTTCCCGATTTGCAAATAATTCCAAGAACATACGTGATTCAGGGTGGGATCCCATAAATGTTAGCAATGTTTACAATCAGCCTTATTAGAGCAATCGAAATATTGTCTTTAGCAATAGCTTCTAAATAAACCTAAATATGTGATATTGGACTGTGCTTCTGGCTTGAGGACAGAAGTTTTAAAAATTTTTCAGGCAATAACAAAAAAATAATCCACATATCCAATCAATCACTCAATCAATCAGTCTGCTTAGAGAATATCTTGAATCACCTGCTTCAGTCAGTGTGTGACAAACTCGATGAACAGACAAGAATGAAACTCTTA